AGAGGAAGGCTCCCTGACCTGCAGTCCTGGCGGGGTTTGGGGATGTAGCCCGGGTACGCCCCGTCGGTGATGAGTTTGCACATGCGGCTGTCGCGGTCGGACGGCAGCAGAGTGCTGGCTTTCACCAGCAGCCCCAGGCAGTGCTCAAACGTGTTGCGCTCCTCTGGTCCGTCCTCTGTAAAGAAGCAATGACCCAGAGCATCGTAACCCACCACGTCCTTCACCTGTGTGGACAAAACAAAGGTCAGGGGTAGGGTTTATTCATCAGCCACTGCATAATTAGAACAAATTTTACAGTGATGGCACATGGAGCCTCAGCAACCTTTTGAACCCAAAACCAAAAGCAAGGTCCCTCTCAGCCCTTAAGAGCTTACAGTCTGAGCAATAACTCTAACACCTAATTAGAATTTGTCATCACCTAGGAAATGCTCATTCCATTCTTTTGTTGGCCTGTGAAATCAGAGACTTTCTTAGCACGAGGCTGGAAAAACCACGGGGTGGGGGATGAAGGGAGGACCTTAGATGTTCAGATCACATCTGGGCTCATTCATCTTCATGTGCAGTTACACCAGCAGCTACATAAAATGCAACTCAAAAAATGCAGCTGAGATGAAAAAATATTTTTCCAGGCTATCAGAGAGGCGGAAAGTTGTTTTCCAGACAGGCTGGCTTGTTTTAGGTTTGACCTGATTTTTTTCTTCAAGTTGTTGACAGAAGCTTTAGTTGACCCTGAGACAGATCAGCTGGTGTTGATCAATGCCGTTCTGGTTTTGGTTTGGATTTGTTAACATCAGGACATTGTTGGACAGAAAGCACCTGAGACACCCCTGGGAGAGCTGAGAGCAGTTTGAAACCCAAGGGCTGGGAAGCAGCAGCCCTTGGACACAGGAAAGTGTGTCCAGCAAGCCAGTTGTCAGTGAAACTATCTGGAATTTAGTGGAACTGTCTGAGATATGGAAAATTATTTCAGGCCTCYGTTGACCAGGGGAAAGTCTGGATTTCCTGGGCTCTTTCCTTGCTGTTCCCATCAGCCACCATCCATCAATCACCCTCAGAATGAGGAAATCTTCCCAGCAAAGGTTAACCTGCCACCAGTGTGTTCCTGTAAATGYTTCTGGTGAAACTGTAACTGTCCAGGGACAAAGGACAGTATTCACCTGGCAGACCTGTTCATTGTGAGACCTGTACATTCAAGGGCTTGATTTATTTTTATAAATAATGAAAACATTGTCTTCCTTGTCACCTCATCCCTAAGCACCGATTTCAAATAAAATCCCAGGATTAGTGTTGAAATGATTACAGATACGTTTTCCCATGAGGTAATACACTTTGCATGACAAATCTATTACCAGCTTAAAACCACAGAGACTTCTCTCACGTAGCATCCAAATACTCAAACCTGACCATGTCATCCCAGTAAATTAAACACCACTAAAATGACCTGCAAAGAGATACATTCCTTTAAGATACCTCACTGCAGTGTAGTGCTAACTTTCCTGGTCAAATAAAATGATAGATATTGCAAGGTTTAGCTCCTTTAATTAGGTTAAAATATATGCACTAAACTGTCCCTCCTCAGAAGAATGAGATCTCCCAGATTTGTAATGATAAAGGTTTACAGGACAGAAGAACATTCCAGGAGAGTGASCAAAATTCAGAAGAAGGTTTCCAACGTGTAGAGGAAGTGTTTTAACCRGGGATGCCAGAATTCCCCAGAAGCTGGAATGACAGGATGGTTACACCGAAAAGACACGTAAGCAGTGGTGTTGGGACATTGAGATGATGGGARCAGTTTCCCCAGGGAAATGTTTGCCACTTGAGCTGTTTACCCTCCCAGACAGCCCTGARCAGCACCAGGACTGGCACATGGAAATCTGCAGTGCCCAGAGTGAGCTGGGGCAGAGCAGGGCAGTGCCATGCCAGGGAAGCATCTCCTGGAATAGAGAACAGGACAGGGAGAGAGAGCTCTGCAYAGAGGGGCTCAGAGCCAGCAAACACCTCTTGCTCTCCTAAATCATCCCTGAAAGCCCCCAGAGCAACAGGGGCTTGTCAGCCAGGAATCTGCTCCCTTAGGCATTGGTCACCCTCTCTTTGATTAATTATTTCCCCAAAAGCCATCTCTCAGTCAGCTCAGAGTTGTTTTCTGTGCGTGTTTTCATGCACAAGCCCACTACTGAAATGCTTGGATAGCAAACGAGATGTTTGTTCCAAAATCACTCCTCTAATGTATTTAATTTTTCCTTTGATTAAAACCTTGCTAATAGTCCATAATCCTACATTAACCATGAGTAATTTAGAGCCAGATAATGCCCCTTCCTGGCAAAACAATTGCTGTGAAGCATGGCAGGATTAGTAAAAGCAGACACAACTGAAGCTGGTAGATAGCAAAACCTCTAATTCTCTGCAGTACAGGTCTCCCCTGGATCCTGCCAGATTATTTACTGACCCYCAGTTCATTTCCTTCCTCAGGGGCTGTTTCTATTTTAGCTTGCACACTAGATCCGGGGGAGAGAGTGCAAATCAGAGCCAAGTTTCATCCCTGGGATTGCAGTGGTGTAATTAGGTGGTTTTTGGCCAATATATTAAGGAAAACATTGGGTAACTGTTGCATTTTAAAACAATAATTATGGTGAGAAACTCGTTTCTGCAGATTTGTTTCCAGAAGGACCCTCAGTGCCTTCCAGCTAATCTGAATTCACAGRCAAGTGCAGAATAACCCATCAGTGAGGTGAGCTAATGTTGAGAGAGACAGTCCTAACARACTCTGCAGACCAACAGAAAATTACCTGTCATCAGGAATAACTGCATTCTCTTTGCTCCCAGCCTTTCCAGTCTATGAGTATCTCTGAAGTGACATGACAAAAGTGACAGCAAAGCAAGCAGGGAAGCCTGGATGCAAATTACCAGCGTGTTTTAATGATGGTGAAAGAAAACTGATGCCCCTYTCCCATTTATTAAAGCATTTGCACAGCTACTCTGGGCAAGAAGCTTCTCTGAAATCAACAGTCTAATGCTGAGGACATCCTTAAGTGCTGCTCTGAGGTTTAACAGTCCACCTAGAATTTTTATGGTGTGCCCAAAGAAGTGTGGTTTGTGCACATCATTAATGCAAATTTTCCCTCAGCAAAGCACTCTTTGGATCTGCCTGATCTCACAGGGAATGAATGTTACTGGGGAAAGGCAGAGCTCATCTCTGTTTGCACAAATGCTGTCCTTGCATGTACAAAYAGGYGGTGCTRCCCRAGTAAAAAGATAATGGGTAACTGGRAAATGTGTGTGATAATAACTACTGTAATCATCAGAGACCYGTGTGGGTGTCTGGGAATGTATCTGGGGGAGGAGGAAGAGGAAAGGAAGGAAATCAGAGTCAGAAATCAGATGGGGAGATGGTGGTGGGATCATCTGCTGTCTGCAGATGTGTATCAGACAATGGAACAACACCTAAGTGATGCAACGTTTGGAGAACATTTTCTGTGACACAACTGAACAAACCTGATCAGATTCTTTAGTTCACTGGGGCTCTCATTTTAGCCATCAGTAATAATGGTGAGGTTAGAAAAAAACAACAACCAAACAAGTATGAGTTCCATATTCACACATTTTGATAAATTAAAATCAACAGGGATTATATTCTTGACTAACTAATGTCCTGAATTATAAGATTTCTCTTGGGTGCCGTGTCATGGAGGCAAAGTGTGGCTGYTCAAGGAATTGTGGTTGCTCAGTGACAGCAAGAGATTCAAGTTGCTTTCATCAGCCACATCAGCCTGGCTGAATTTCACTGTGCCCTCCTGGCTGTAAAGGCTTGAGCACATGGATTCCTGTGCCACAGATCCCCCATGGCACAGGTACTCCCCAGAAAAAGCACAAGAGGCAAAATTAATCCCAAATTCTCTGCGTGRACCCATCTGACTGACAGGAGAAATGCCAGGCTCTGGGTATTTTGTTTGGCAAATATTAAGCAACAGGGAATGAAGATCTCACACAGGATGCAGGAGCAGCTGAGCAGCCCCTGTGCAGCCAGGGGAGGGGGAGGTGTTTCTGGTGCCACTGGTGACAGCTGTGACAAACAAAACCTGCAATGCCACCCTGCCACTCTGAGCCCCTGTGCTGGCAGCTTCACTCTGGGCAGACACCACATGGCCCTGAATGACTTACATAAAATAATTTCTACACTAGAATGTCCTTTTAGTGAACCCATGTTCACTTGGTAGGTTTTTAAGATCATGTTATAAACTTAGAAGGACAGAGGCCAAGCCCAAAACCTCAGATYCATAAATAGCAGATAAAAGCTGCTCTGCTTTGGGGACTGCAATTTAAATGCCTTTTGTTCCACTTCTGTGCATTTTAATTATGGCTGGGACTGTCCCTTCCAAGGCTAGCACTTCTGGAGGTATGAACTCCTAATGCACAGTGACCATCCACATTACAGCTGCCAATGACACGTTTCCATTTAAAACTGTTATATACAGCAGTGGGGCTCTTGGCAGTACTGATCCTTCTCTTCAGGGCTTTTTTTTCCTTTTGGAATACACTGACATTTCACTGAATTGGTCAGARTCCTTTGCCTAGAGAAATCCTGCACCTTTAGGATTTCCTTCTTGAAGATCATCTGATCCCCATGGACCCTTCTGCCCTTCAAGAACTGCCTCCCAAGGGCCTCTCTCAACCAGGCTCCCAAAAAGGCCAAAGTCTGCCCTCTGGAAGTCCAGGACAGCTGTTCTGCTGACCCCCTGCTTGCTTCTCCAAGAATAGAAAACTCTTATAATTTTGTGATCGCTGTGCCCAAGGCAGCCTGTAACCATCACATCACCCACAAGTCCTTCTGTGCTCACAAACAACAGGTCCAGCATCCTTACCCCAAAAACAAAGGCTCCCCTACATCTGGGGAGAATCTGAGTATGTTGTTATGGTGTGCTGGAACTTGTCTGTAACCATCAGTCACTCTACACATTTATCCTGAAGGATTTCTTGTTTTGGAGTGCCACTCTTAGAAAATCACAGCTCTGTGAGTGCTAAATGTTGTGACTGGCATCRCAACCCAAACCTTCATTACAGGAAAGATGAGGCACACTCAAAGCTTCTGATTATCCTCTTGAAATAGCAAGCTCTGTGTCTACAGAAAGACCCAACCACTCATTAGAGATGGGCTGGTCTGCAGTGCCCAAATGCTCTGAGTCACACAGAACCCCCTGTGCCACCCTGGCAGGCTGAGATATTCCCTCTATATCCAGGGTGGGAACAGCCAGACACGGTTTTAACAACAAAACACATAAATCTGCAATAATTAAACTGAATTAATGCTATGAGGAGGATTTTTTGCTGCTGCTTTTGAAGCAAACACTGGAATTTCTCACCAGCAAACCGTTGGAGCCGTGGATGGTGACGCAGCGGGAGAAGGTGTGGTGGATGGAGCTGTCCTTCACGTASGTCGGAGGGGTGTAGCCTCCTTTCTCATCCACATCTCCAGCCATGTGGAAATGGATGGGGTAATGCCCCATTGTCTGCTGGCCCATGTGCTTCAGTTCCACACCTTCGATGTGGGCAGCCTTGAAATCGAGACCGATCTGGAGAGCAAAGGAACATCAGTCAAGAAAACACAGAAGGCGTGGTGGCTGAGGAAACCAGAGCTGCTCTTTGATTTCCCCACTCTGCCTAGACACATTCAACTTAATTTTAGAAGAAAAGCAATTTATATTTATCATTTTCCACGAGTTTGACCCAGCTGGGTTCAAATCGAACTTCTTGGGCTGAGCACCACCAAAATCTAGGGAAAACTTGGGCTGGGATATGGAGACAGATGTGCTGATCACCAGCCCCATTGGCTGGGGAGTGTCTGTAGGGGCAGGACATGCACCCCAAAGCAGAAGGATGAGCAGCAGCAGGGGGTGGATCTGCTGTACCATGGGCAGAGGATGTTTGCTCAATATCTAACAAGGAATTTCCCCTTGCTCCATCTTGGCTTCCCAGGTATATGAAGGYGTGGCTGGGGGAGGAAAAAAGCAGAAGGCTCCAGCCCTACCTTGATGTGCCCACCAAAGGTGTCAAAATCGAAGAAGGAGCAGAGCTTGCTGCTGTACTCGTAGCACTGCTGCTCCATCTCTCCCATCAGCAGCACGTGGCGGCTCAGCAGCCCCACCTCAGCCCTCATGTCGACGCCATCCACCACCTCACCCATGTGCAGGTACCTTGCTTTCCCTAAGGAACAAAATCTGGGGTCAGGATTGCTCTGCCAGCACTGCTGGCTTCCCGTGGGCTCCCTGGGGTGGGGCTGGGGGGACAAGGACAGCAGAACCCRAGTGAGCACACAGTGACACCTCAGAGGAGCACAGGTGACACCCAAGGCCTTGGTGAGATATTTGCAACAGAGGAAGTGGGATTTTTGATCTTAAATTGCTTCGTTTATCCAGGGAGTTAAGCCACCAGTCTGTTAGACAAAACACATTTCCTGCCTTGCAAAGGAACCGAGTACTTTGGATTACACCTGGCTGTGTATGAACATAAAAAAAGCCCTGATGGTGCAGCTACTGAAAAGTCTGAAACACCAAGGTTAGCACAGCATTTCCCATGGTGCAGCTACTGAAAAGTCTGAAACACCAAGGTTAGCACAGCATTTCCCATGGTGCAGCTACTGAAAAGTCTGRAACACCAAGGTTAGCACAGCATTTCCATGGTGAGACACTGGGAGCTGCCCCGACCCCACAGCACTCCTGACGGGTGAGCATCGGTCTGATCCCACTGCCACCACAGCTCCTGATGAGAGCAAGGAGCAGAAAACCTTATGGGAATTGTGSCTTGGGACAATCACAGCCCCTCACAAATCTGTGGGCTGCAAAACCTCCCAAACCCCTCCACTTTAGATCTGCCCTCACACCTCCARCACCCAAAGCTTCCTCCTGTCCAGTGTATTTGGAGTCAATGGGATTTTCCATCCACCCCATGTCASACCTTCCCCCAGAAGGGTTAAAAGCACAGAAAACTTTCCCTGGCCTCACCAGGAAGAGGGGAAGTCCAGGCAGTGGGGATKTCTAGAAAGCAAAGCATCTCTTTGTTGTAATTTCATTCAAACATATTCCTACTACATCCTTCCTTCCTTCCGCAGCTCTCTGCAGAGAAAGGCCAGTTGGGAAAAGGTTCATCTTACTGACTCCATTCTGCATTATTCCAGTAAAAATAAGTAATAAACTCTTAAAGTAAACACTGAACTTTAAGGAATGCTACACTTGCATGTATTTAATTTCCATGGAATCGTTCAAATCCTTAATTAGAAACAAATGGCAAGCCTGAAGCCTGGCTATCGCTGCAAAGCACTTCATGCTCAAGCAGAGGTGCCAAGTCAAGGRGAGGGTTTTGAACACTGAAACAATATTATTTTTAACCAAAACATGATGTTTGGAGTGTATAACAAAGAGAAGCAAACACCATTCATTCCCCAATCCTCCGAAGATGGAAGCAGAGTGGTTTGATGGTGACAGTGGCAYTGGGGAAGGGTGAGTGCTCCCCMTCCCTCTGAGGCTGCTGTGTTGGGGGAAAGGGTTCACACCATGACACTGCCTTCTGCCTTGGCACCTCTGCCTTCAGAATCACCTGATCACCTGCAAAACACTCTCTGTTAACCCRAGGGTGGTGATGGACAAAGAGCTCCGTGCTCACCTCAGAAATGRGGGGCTGCAGGGAACTCTGGATTTGTACCTCTCCCACCTTCGCAGTTATCCTGGCCTTACCCATGCCCTGCAGCCAGTGATTCCCATCAGGTCTGTGGCCAAAACCACACCCAACCCATCCTAATACAGCAGCTTCGCTTCCCTTATTCCTATAAATCAAAAAAAGCCCCTGCAGTGAGCACCCTCCACATGAGGAGACTCCATGCTGGAGCCTTGAGAGAGTCTGCAAAGGAGCACAGCTTCTCCTTATGGAACTGTTTTTAAGCTGTTATTTTTCAATTTTCCCCAGAGTTGACCTTTCCTTGATTTACTGAAATGCAGCAAGAATTTCAGATAATCACAAGAACGTCCTATTTGAAGGCACATCTCCAGGATTTGTGGCAGTGAAATTGGATAGGCAGTTTTGTTATTCCTGCGCTGAGCTCTAGAATAATAAATGTCATGCTTGCATGTATTTAATTTAATTTAACACCAGTCCAGACATGCAAAACAGGGTAAGCACTGACAGGAATGTTAAATACGGACTAACCAGTTTCTAAATATAGCTTCTTGGGTGCATGTTTTTCACTCTATGCTTTTGCTGATTTGACATGTTTGGAGATAAAAGGAGAGACGGAAAGCAATCCCCTTCCAAAGCARAGGCGGATTTTGAATAATAGCTCCTTTAACAGAGTTTTAAAAAATAAACCACTTCTCGAGGCAGACAGAAATTCAAGCTCCCAACAGCAAAAGGGCTGAAAGGAGCTTGTGGGAGACAGAGCCTGGCACGGGAGCTCTCGTGTGCTGTAAATGCCTGCTGGGAACCATCCCTCCAACACCGGGCACTTCCCATGGGATCAGGGGCACTGAGGGACATTTCCAGACATGTGGCACTGCCAGGAGCTRCCTGGGTTCTGGTTTAGTGGTGGGCATGAACAAAACCCACCAAAGGATCTGCTCTGTGCGAGTTCAGGGAGTTCACACGAGGACGGGAGGTTTGCAGTTTGGCTCAGAGCTGGCACCAGAACATTCCCTGAGCACTGACCWTGGGCAAACCCCAGCCAGGGGCTTGCAAAGGGGCACTGAAGTGCTTTGATATAAAAAAGCAAAGCGGGAGGAATGTGCTGCTGCTTCAGCATCAAAGCCAACGCTGCCATTTCCCAACCACTGCCAAGCCCTGAGGCCACTGATTCACCTTCTCCTGCTTMGGGTTGGGGCTGGCTGCATCCCTCCTGCCTGGGCCAGGCTTTAATCTAAACCAAACACAGCCTGGCAGTGACACAGATCC